AGAGATCTTGTCTTGTTGAACAAGTTAGTAATATAGTTATGAGCCTTATTTAAAGGACTCATCATCTATTATTTTATTTGGTTGATTTTGAATGAAAAATTGAATTAATTGCGAGTTTTACGTGTTTTACGAGGGAGTATCTCGTTTGCTCGTTTTATCTTTCTCACTCGTACGCTTTCCCTACTGGAAGACAACTAGACAAGGTTGGTTGTTTAGACAAGAAAAAGTGAGTGAGAAGCTAGTAGTGGATTGGGCCAGAGCAGAGTGGTTAGAGTTTAGAGATAGCATAGATAGGATGCAGTTTTCTTCTGGTCAGGATTTGCAGACTCAGAGGGTAGCTGAGGAGGAATTTTCCCAGCGGGTAAGGCAATAGAGATTCATTGTCAGTGCTCAACTCTCCACAAGGAATCAGCTGAATATGTGTTGTGTTGTCAAGAAAGAGGGCCAATCAGATCAAATTTTGGAGCATTACATCAGATATGAAGGGTGTATCGAGGGCCAATGGTTGGAGGCAGTTAGATGTATTATGTCGGAGGCTAGAGATTTTGGATGGCTTAAATGTTGTTTGTTTCATCAAGAATAAACCTGTGAGCATTAAGCTACTTTAGAAATCACCCTTTGAAGTAGTCCAAATTGAATTAGCAAGGCGTGGCCAAATTAAATTTAAAAGTGGAGGCACAGAGAGTCTAAAGCATAATGAGAAAAGATAAGACAAAAACAGAATATTGGCAGCACCAAAAATCAACGTGAAGTTGTTGATAAAAAACGCAGAAAACTCGGACCCTTTATAAGATGGCATGCAGGAAAGCAACCCAAATCATCATCCATCTCATATATCCTTTGATATCATATCATCAATCAACCATGACCAACGCAATGATTCTTATCACCGCACTTGCGGCGACCGTGTCCATGGTCGAGTGCTTCATCGACCTCCACAACGCACTCGCTGATGATCGTTTCAACGGATATACGGTAACACTGTCGGTGGGACGCTCTAAGAAGCAAGTCGCTGCTCTCTTTAGCACTACTGACGACCTCACTATGACCCAGTGCACCAATTCGCGACGCGACATTCCCTGCAGTGACCGCCGCTGCCAGTCCTTCTCGGAGAAGAACTGCAGGGTGGGTAGCGGCAGCTGTTTCTACGACATTCAAACCGGGGACGGCACCATCAGCAAGGGATCCGTCTCCACTGAAACCCTCGGGTTGGCGGGAAATAGCGGCTCCGTCATGCTCGGGTGCGTGGATGCCAATGTGGCGCCTGTGGCCGGGTTCGGGCGTGGCCCGCTGTCGATCCTTGGGCAGCTGAACATCAACTCGTTCGCCTACTGCCTCAGCAGCGGCACGACGGGGAAGCTGGGCTGGGGCCAAGAAGCAGGTGTGCCGGGCGGGGTGGTCCTTCCACTCGTCCAGGACCGCACAACTCCGCAGTTCCTTTTTGTGGGCGTGGCCTCGGTCGGTCCCCAAGGAAGTTCGGTCGCTCTGCCGGGTCGGAGGATGCTAATTAGCACGGCGACGTCTCTGACGAAGCTCCCGGGCAAAGAGAACAGCCTGCTGAATAGAGCGGTACAGGATTACATCAAAGCAAAGAATAACAAAATGAGGCCGTTCGGCTATGGAACGGGTCTTCTAGACACGTGCTACAATGTGAATGGGAATGGCGTACCTGTTGGGTTCAGATGCGCAAATGCAGAAGATGTAAATTAAAATATTAAGGTAAAATGGTAAACAATAATCCCAATCCCAGCAACTCAAGAATGACAAAAGAAAAATCTCTTGCAATAATACCGGAATAATTCTTTTCTGATGTGGAAGTTCAGATTAAACTGCGACCACAGAGCATACTAAGAATATCCCAAATAAATAAAATATGCAAGAAATAAGACACCAAGATTTAACGTGGAAAACCTCCAAATAGAGGAAAAACCACGGGACAACCTCCGAACAAATCCACTATATTTTCAAGATAATTACAATATATTTTCACACTCCCTTACACAAGAAATGTAAAATATAGTGACCCAGTGAGAACCCCACTCCTAAACAAGGAATAATAGAGTTGATACCCAACCCGGTGTATTTTTCCCACACCCACAGGATTTACTCAAACACTCTATTTTTATCTCACTGAAAAATAACACTTAAAGATGTTATTTCTTCTCTCTTTTTCTTTCTGCTCTTGGTGCATTTTCAGCTCTTCAGAAGCTGCTATTTATAGCAGAGAAAAGTGCTCAATTATTGAAAGTTGACAGCCTAGCTTGTTAAACATGGCAGCTCATTACACTAAAAAATTTCTAATCATTTTTGGTAGTTAGAATATGACAACCTCATTTGTTGTTTTTAGCACATGTTGGCTGGACCCATTAGTACCGGGGTACTTTCCCGACATTGAGTTGACGAGTGGAGCAGGGAAATTGGTGGTGCCCAAGGAGAGAGCTTTTGTGGCTATCGATCGTAAGAAAACCAAAATTTGTCTGGCGGTCAGCAAGGCAACTGGTGAACCTATCCTGGGTTCTCTATGGCAGACAGACTTCATGGTGGGGATTAGTACGACAGCCAACACGGTCACCTTCAAGAAAACTTCTCCGTCATGTGCGTAGAAAACAGGACGACTTTGATAGTCATATATCGACGTCGTTCGGCGTTCCATCTCATGTATCGCCCTGTGTTTTTATTATTGTCCTTTCCATTACACTTTCCTCTGCCCGTCCCGGTGTGTCATGTGTGGGCTTGCTACCACCATATGTCAAACATTTCCCTTACTAACAATATATGAAATAATCAAATGAAGAATTAATAATGATGGGGCTGTTTCTTATCATCCTTTTTTTTTTTTTTTTTT